TATTCTTCCCAAATATATTACTTGATCCTGGATGGTCTTGTTCTATTTTTAATCATTGAACGTTACTGACTACTCACAAGTGAGTAGTATCTCACAACACTAGTAGCTATCCTTTACGTAGTTGTTCCTAGGGGAGAGATAATCGGTCCGAGGAGAACTTATTACTTGTTAACCTCATTCAGCCTGCAGAACTGTAAGATAATAGATTTGTCAGCTTTCATATCCAGCATTCTTCCCAAGTTACTTGATGAAATTCTTCCGGTCATTTAGATGTGGCAATGATTTCGCTCTTCAGTATTCCTGTGGGATTCACACGGTTTAGGGGAGTAGTAGTAGTAGTGGAGTAGTTCGATAACCTTGGTTCGCTTAGATTGTGGTAGCGAACATCGATCCCATCTTAACCATCGTACATTGAACTTAACGGATAGCTCATAAGCTCAAAATATACAAAATGTGAGAATAAGTAAGGCGGATAGAGATTAGGTCTGTTTTGAGCGATACGAAAGAAGGCAAACCTTTATGCTCAACAGGTAGAGTAAAAATTCGATCATCTCATGCACATTCTTTTAGGCATTCTGGTTTGATAAGAAGTTGCAAAAAGAATCCTACGGCTGCCGGCTGGTTGACATGTCCTTCAGTGTCTCCAGGCAGCTAGTTACGGAGTCTTTGGGGAGACCTACCTCTACCTAACTGCTAGGTGCAATTCTTCGTGCTTAATCTCCAAGTCATTTGTTGGTTGGCCTTCATAGACTGTGTTAATTGGGATGTGTTGCGCATGTCACCAATAGATTGCCACTGCTTGAGTTGTTTGCCGAGGCAGGTGCTCGGTGGAAAAAAGTCACGGGTGGCCAAACGAAGATCTAGTATAAGGGTACGAAAACCCTGGCCAGAAGACTTGCGCACATAGGCTTCCTGGATGGGGACCCTGGGATTTTCTTAACCGGAAGTTAGGGACACTTATTGATATGGCTGAGTATCGAGAACGATCGAGCCGTCTGTTTCACTTTCGTTTATTAATCCTTATCTGAGTCACTTCTGATGTTAAAATTGAGTCTCACAATTACAACCCGATTTTTTTCTTGCATTGAGTACAGAGCATATGGGTCAAGGGGAGTGACAGAATATATATATATATATATTCACACACGTATGAATCCAAACTGTGTCAAACAAATCATGGTACAATAATCTTTTTGAAAAAGAAAGCCATCCCATGAGTTGCATGTGGGCGGAATACTGCTAGGTTGCCCCGGACAAGGCAGGTGAATTTTCTTCAGGAATCCACAACCGGAACCTTTGTCTAGCCAAAGCCTGACCCGCAAAGCGGTAGGACGGTGTGCGAAAACCGCAATAACTTGAATAACTTGATAGTCAATCAGTCACGAGACAAGAAAGCGACTACAAAAGATTCCTAAAGATCTGTCAGTAATGGAGGATTTGGTTCAATTTCAAAGGTTAATTCGTCGTGTATATAGCAAATGAAGCGTGAATTGAAAAGCTACGAAGCACTGGACAACTGTTTCGACCTGGTTGAGTCCAGTCAGCAGTACGAATCCATCGACGCAACTGGGGATTGAACCCCGGGACGGTTTGATCAGTTATCCGGTGGCCCAGTGGGTAGCATGCTTGCGTTCTGCCCATGAGGTCTCGGGCTCGATCCCCAGTTGGGTCGATGGATTCACACTGCTGATGAGACCCGACCAGGTCGAAACATTTGTTAATTCATCAACCGCATAAATACGTAGTGTTAATAATTCATAGACATTCCGAATTTTTTGCGAAAAGCTAAAGCCTTGGGATAATCCTAACAGCCGATTATTTTTTTAAATTACAACGCAAATACCCGAGTATGCGATTTGCGGAGTGAAGTTTTGCTTTCCACGGAAAGGCTTTGTGAATTAAAATAAATGAGTCTCTCAAAATCACAAACCTTAAACGGACAAATCATGAAACTTGAGTTTAAAAGAAGAAAGAGCAAATGTGTGATCGTGTCTATGCATGCGACTTGCGCAGTAACACTTTCTAGAAATCGGGGCGAATCAATCAACTTTTCTTCCCCGTAAAGTGGAGAACCAACTCATGGGTGTGCCGAATAAATCTTTAATCTCGTAGAATATGTCAAAACAATGATCAGGCTAAGACTGTTTGCCAAGCAGTTCACGTGGTGTGCTCGCTACAGCAAGTTACGTTTCATGGAGCCTCATGCCAGAGATCGCAAACAGGTATAGCTTTTTCCATCAGCTTAATACAATTTAAGTCGGGTGGTTTTAGTAGCCTTACATATTACTCCACTTTGAGCACAACGAAATACGATGATCCGACAATCCGAACGGAATGACTTCAAGAGACAGATAGCTCAACTATTGCACGATCACAGTTTCAAGCCTTCTGTGCCGTTTTGTTAGAAATCTATTTCCAGTGTTTCAGTTGGGTTGACAAGACTATATGTTGGTGGTCGTAAAGTGATTACAGTTTTCATCACACATGCAGAGATCGGGAGTTCTAATCCTACCAATGAATGACTTTCTCCTTCTATGTATCTCCGGGCAGCGGCTAAATCGTTGCAATGCACACTCTCCCTGGAAGTCGTACAGTTGTGTACTCAATAAAGAGAGTAGAAAAGTTATTATTATCATTAAAAATTTAAATTGGCAGTAATTTCATAAAAACCGGGTAGCAGTTCCGAAGAACAGTTCAGCTATCTCTGTCCAATAACCAGATTCAGATGCAATTTACACAAGAGTTAGTTTGATGTATGTTGAAAGTTCACTGAGTTCGATGTGGTTAAAACAAATCCATCGGTTACAATCGAAGCACAATGAGTTCATTTTATGTTCGAGCGGCTGATCGCGAATGTTTTATTCACAGGACCGACACTACTCACCAAGCAAATATAGCTCCAACAGCCGAGATCGCACGACCGGTACGGTCAACGAGGCAACTTCAGAGCCTGGGGATGGGATGGCGGCTGGAGGCTTGGCAGCAAACCAGCGAGCAGTCAACCGAGTCAATGCAAGTTGACAGAGGCGACACGGAACGCGAATGAGAACAAGGTTGGCGACGCTCAAGGACAAACCGAACCAACCGGCTAATGCATTCCGAAATCCTTGTTTCATTGACAACGGTGGCAGAGGCTGGGCAAGGTCAGCCAAACATTGATGCAAATTCTTCACCGACGTTGTGATTGCACTCTGAAAGAAGATAATGAACAATAGATGCACCTTTATTATCATTAGCGTAAATAACGTTATATGCAGGTAGCCCTTAGAAACGAACTAGTAAAAACAGAAAAACTCTGATCAATTTTACAAAACAAAATTTAGAATGGTTATCGCTGTGATAAGGGCACTGCTCACGTCAGACCGATACGATGCGCATTGATGTGCAATTTGATTGGCTAACTGCACATGAACGTGCCTCTGCGCTGTTCCAGAAAAGAACGCAGACACTATTTAGTCATATGATCAGGAAACAAGGTGAATCGTTCGATATCTCAGTCAGATAAAGAAGTTAGTACACAGACTGAGCCAAGGTCACAAAACACACATTGGGATCCGAAGATCAAACGCAAAGCTTCTGTTCGTTGCAGCAGAGCATGAAGGTGAACCCCAAAATGTGGGAGGGGGTCTTATACATGGTCATAGAAGAACGGATCTAAAAGGAACATTGCAGACTGGGGTTACTTTACGACAATAATAACAGGCGGAGAATCATCATCATACAGCCAAAATGCAATGAAGTGAAGTTTTTAATTGCCTTGGCAATAGAGGATGGTAATTCGGTTGGAGGTGTTTGCGAACTATGTAAACTGATGCTGAACCAAAGTAAGTGGTAACCCGGGTGGGCAAAACAAATGCGTAAAACTGGGGAGCGGGTTACCGTACAAAGAAAGCACTGTGTCCGCTCTCTACGGCCACGGTAACACTAGTGTTTGCTGTTTGTACTGAACTGTACAAATAGCCTAACAAACTTTCTTCGCCATCGCTTCACGGGTGCTGAACACAATACTTTAACGACTGTCTTGAGCGCATCCTCCATGTCTACTACCGACCGAAGATAGCAGAATGATGTTTTTAATGTTCTGAACTGTGTTGTGACAGTAATCTACTATCTTCTTTGAGTTAAGTCGCCGTGTATCCGAAATAACAAGCATGATCACTGCGTCTACACAGGGAAAAACGGGCACTAGTGCGATAAGCTGACTAGTAGGCTAAAAATCACTGGGTTAGTCCTTGACACCATTCTAAGATATACTGTCAGGAAAACTTTGTCAATGATTCTTGTTAAATGATGTTCCAGAACTCTAAAAGATTTATCGGCCAAAGTGGCCTAATGGTCAGAAAGCGAAGATGTGTGTGATAGGTTAATCATCTTGATTTTGAGTGAAAATCTAGATAAGCCCGAACCTCTCAGTGAGAAGTCGACCATATACAGGAACAAACTCGAAAAAGAAAAACCGTGTACATCCGTGATTGGGACCAATTAGGGGTTGATTCAAACTTGTACAGAAATTAGCTGCGTTAAAGTAGAAGTGAACGTGTGCACTCCAAATCAGGTTCCCCGAGAGCGGTAAGAAAAAAATCCAGAGATAGATGAGTTGTTTGGAAATGTACATAGTCCATTTAATCCGTTCAGCAAAAAACCATCAAACTTTGGAAAAAAGAAAGAAAACTATAATTGAGGGGATGAGATCAAAGATTATCGGTGCGAGGGGATAACTACTACCTGTAGCACTGCAACCCTAGATTAGCGACAAGTGGCCGGGATTGGAAAACAATACTACACCCGTGATAACACTGAATTCAGTACCTGGAGGACGGATACAATCACTTCAAATGCTGCACATCAACAAAATGCAGCATGCCGAAATCGGCACGCATATTGGAAAAACCATGGTCGCTATGTGGGCATGTAAAATCGTGTGCAACTAAACGAATATGACGAAATCGAGGATCAATCATCTGGATCAAGTGTGGCTGTAGCATTAAGTGTATTTAGTATATAAACTTGCCGGTTAATTTGCTAGTTAGTCAGTTAGACATGTACTTGTTAGAATAAACGAAGAACTTTCAATTTGATCGTGCGAAAATTGAAAATTCAATTACTCATATGAAAACTAGAAAATTATCGAACGATGATGTGTATGAGTGTTTTTGGATCAACTTCAGAACTCAAATTATTGTTCACGAAGCTACACAATACATGTACATTCACAGAAACAGTTAAACGAGGTAGGCCGAAAATATTCTACAGGGCGAACAGCGTAAATCGTTCTCGTTGATGCGGAGTAGGCCTCGAGGGATGTGGTTCAAACTTTATCACTGCAAACCAACTTCGGGTGGTGATTGGTTTCGCTTCCACCGTATTCCATATCAACCTTGCCTCGAAACAGCCTTGTGGTTCAATAGATTAGACCTCAGGTTTTAGTTACCGAACAGAAGAACTCTCAGATGGAGCAAAAGAATGCAATATGAAACAGAGAAGTATGCTGTCATATTTCAATTGCCCCTACTTTCCAACTGGTGTACGTGTAAAGTTTCTCGATAAAATAGAAGTAGCTGGACAGAAAAATTGTACCACCATTTTTTGATAAGATTTTAACCTTTACGTACGGAAAAGTTGGTCTCAAAAAAATACAAGGTTAGAAGTGAGATATGACATCCTCAACACTATTCGGCTTTGCTCTTCGAGAATGCGTTGCTGACCGCTACACAGCTAGGTGAAAAGTGTAGACTTGGCTCTATTTTGATGACCTAACGGATGCATTCTACAGATATCTGTTTTTTTCTTGATGAGAGACAGCTTGCTAAACGAGAACCCACCACGCTCTCAGACACCGCTCAAGACTGTCTACCATTGTTCATTCAGCGATGCAACACCCACTTATTCACGATAACCAGTTTATGAGCCGTTCTCCAATCTGTCACCGAGAAACGTGCTCGATACCACTGAGATGCACTGAACATAAAATTGTGTCAATATCATTCGTGAAAAATAGGCAGACGATAACCAAGGGACAACCTTCCCGTTCGGAAAGGACATTACGTTCAAAAGGACGTGAGTGTGTATTCCAGTTAATGCGAATGACGGAGAGGGAAGGAGTAACTTGTTGTGGGAAGGAAGTTTAGCGGCTAGCTAAACACACTGACACAAGGATAGAACTTAGCACCCAGTTTCGTTGTGTATGACATCGAATAACTAACCCGAATTTCATCCGCATTCCAAACAGAAATTATTAGTTTCTGAATGTAGCACAAAAAATGTTATATGTATTGAGGACACTAATTAGTCTAATTTCCAGTCAAGAGAGGTTTGTTCACTTTGAAGTGTTCCCGACGTAGCAAGAACCATTCAAAACAGGTGGCAAAGTTCACTGTTTACGACAAATTCGAAAACACAGTGTGCTAAATTGTATAGACTGGGTGAAGCAATCTAATCAGCTGCTCACAGTGGTCAAAGAATAGAGTCCAAGCGATTAAAAATCGAAATTTCTGTTTGTCACTCACTCACCTGATTCATAGCCATGTTTGCTTTGACCCAGTGCGCACGTGCAGTTGGTAGATCGTGCACAGAATTTACGGAACGCCTCCATCGCCGCGATGGTCGCCCAGCTGCACCACGTTTCCAGGCCCAGAAACAAAGGAACAAAGCCACTACCCACTGAAGAAGATAGAGTACGCAGTTCATCCACGACGAAAACGACGAAGTCCATGAGGATGAGGATATTGTGAGCAAACGCCGAGCCGTACCGGTACCTGTGGTGCCTGTGACAATGCAAATTAGAGGGAACGAGGACAGGTAAGACGCAAATCAAACACGACATGCGCAATAAACAATTCATCACGATGACGGCACCTGGTATAAGGGCTTTTCGCAACCTTGTTATCCAATGAGCTAGATAGAACATCTCTTACCGAACCGAAAATCTAACCATGCATGAAAGACCGAATGGTAGAGGTTGGACATTCCAATCCTTATTCTTCATGGTGAGGGGATTGACTTGAGCTGGAACTCCGTGGGCAGAATGACGGTGGAATAATCAATCCATATGAACGGGTCACTATTTCACCTCAACCGATGTCTTGCGTTTAGGTTCCTGTTAGAATTCAAGGCATTGGACGATTGTACTAGCAGAAAAGAATTACTGCATCTGTCGTCGAGTGGGGTTCTAAGGAATGCAGCAGGCGGGTTGGGTAGTGTGATTTGAAGTACTTCTCAAACTTAGATTCTATCTTTTTTTCTTTTTCAGACAACTTTCTTACACTAATAAACGCTCGTGTCACATAGCGATGTAGGTGATGCATCACTGAGTGAATTGCGTGCTACGAAGTTTCGTCAACAACTGAATCTGAGGGATATCAGTATGTAGACTCTCATGTGCGCATAATGCAATGACTTATGTCATCTGCTGTGTTTTGGAGACTCAATTTTAAGATCCGAATCGTATAAGCCATTTGACTGTACTGGATTAGCTTCAAGATAGTTCCTGAGCAATTCAAGAAACCAGGAGAGGAACGTGCACTAGATCAATGCGGAGTAGGTGTGATACTGAAAAATAAAATCGACGCCACACTTGTCGATTGGATTGACATTCGCTTGTGTGCGATGCGTCCTCAGGAATCAGTGAGTGTACGGGAAGGAAGTAACATCAAAAGGTGTTTTTTCATAACTTCAGTTTAGGCTCTCATTAACTGCAACTTATAATGCTCAAAAGGACGGTTTTTACAACAAACTGAAGCTGATCTGGTTAAGCCAAAACCCGAATAAGGCTGTCTTGCAGAAGACTTTATTGCACAAATGGGAAAACGGAGCGCTTCAGAAGTCTGACTAGGACTAACTTCCGAAACAGCTCTAGACGGAAAGCAAAGTGACGTTGCGCTTCAATGGAACAGCTTGCTTAAATTGACTACGTGTTTGTTGGCGTGGCTCAGTACAAAATTTGACGTAACACATGATCACATGCGGTGAGTGTGATCATGCGCTACTCTTCATGTGTTTTACTGTTCGACTCATTGGTCGTCGGAAAGAAGCCATTCGCTTATCATTGTACTTCAACCAGCTATTAGCGCACGCTGTTAGGAAAAGCCCAGGTATGAGCTACAAGCTCTGCTTTTTGATGGAGCAGGTGAACAATGGGATCGAATTAGATGAGCAACGCATCCAGAGGCGAGTTNTCCTTGTAGGTCGGAGTCTGAAACCCTCGAGGACTCCGGTTTTCTCATAAATCAGTTGTCCTGGCGAAGAAGCGACAGAACCCAAGCGGCCAGTGGTGTCTCCAAAGTCAACTCACGAATAGAGTGGAGAAGTCCGGCGGAAACTGGTGAACTAAAGTAGCTAGCAAAGTCGAGTTAGTCGCTGTATCAGGGAATAATTAAAGGCTGTTCCAGCTGATGAGCAACATCGGAGGTCAACTGCTCCCGGTCATGGAAACCATCACCGATAAGGGTAGGCAAGCCATTAACGACAACCGACAAACGCTGCATCGCTTAGCAGAGCAGATAGGCAAACAAATCGAATGGTCTACTGCTATTCAGACTACTCCGGTGGTTGCAACTGAAGCACTTTGGGCGGTGTAGTAAGAAACCTCAACAGAACTAGAAGTATGGATGTATTTTCAGGCGCTGAAGAGAGAAAACACAGATAGACCTGACAGGCTTTTCCTGGTTTTTAGAATGAGAAGATGCTTCTACTGTTTTAATACCACTCATCTGATCAGAGGAGCACAGCTCTTCATCCCAGGATGAATTACTGATGGCTACACTTTTCAACAAAGGATCACGAAACGCCTGAAAAAACCACTAACGGATAATCTATTTCAAGTAATACTTTGATGCCTGAGGCCCCGGAGAGAACCCAATATCCGCCTGACTTTCCCCTTATGTGTGGTACGGCAGCTTTTTGAGTGGCCGCTTCCCCCTCCTGGAGATTGCATCTTTGTATATTCAAAAAAGGAAAGTAAAAGATAAAGACGAACGAGTGGTAAATCCGAAACCTGCAGCATTGTACGTCAATGGAGCCTTATTTCAACACTCCTGTTCAACTTGATTAATAGATAAAATGGTGGAAAATGCTAGAATTGAACTCCGAAATGTTTCAATTGAAAGGGCAGCAGGAGAAGAGCTGTGATTTGCAGTAAGCTGAGGATATCGACTGTATGAATGGATATACAGAATATGCAGAGGTGTACTTGATAGAGTTTTTGCGTAGTTCGGTACAAGTGTGATGGAACGAGTGGACAAGTCACATTGAGGTAAGTCGTCGTATATTCTGGGGTACATTCGTGGAATTCAGATTAGTAGACTTCGACGGTTGGGACACTTATTGCACATGCCCAGTTGTCTTCCGTTCCATCGGGCTTTATTTACAGTCGTCACTCTAGGGTGGAGATCAAGTGGAGGTCAACAGATGATGTGCAGACCGTAGATAAAGAAATGCACGGAGAAAGTAGGTAGAGCAGCTATCTCTCATCGTAATAGTTGAGATACAAAAGATAGTAACTGGATTGTTGAAGACGTCGAAGGACAGCAGCAAACGGGTACCAGGTGTTCCTGCTGTCGTTTCTAATCAAGGTGGAATTCATGTGCATAATTAGACTGCATGTGTCATGCGTTGATCATACAGGTTTACTTTCTTTACCAGTCCTTCAAAATAGGTTCCATAAGCTATCCATCTTGCACATTTGTACTTACTTTTTATTCGTTATGAGCTTGGCAGCAATCAGCGAAGATCGTTTGACTAATGATGATGACCACGCACAACAATATAGCGTAATTTAAGCCGCCAGAGCATGGACGTCTCACAACCAGTTGTAAGAACATTATTTGAAAATTTTAATTTCTGCTAGCAACAAACCGCATAGTAAGCGACTCAGAAAACCGGAACTAAACTGGCAGAGCTGAGTTACGGAAAGTAGTCAAACATCTAAACAAAAGTGCTTATGTGAAGGCCATCACCTGAGTCGAAATCGTGTTGAAATTTAGCATTATGGATACGACCGTGCCTACACAAAAAACTATGAAGCCAAATGACATGTGAAATGTGTGCATTCGTCGAACCACAAGATGACGTATGTGAAAACCATCCTTGGGTAGAATTTTCATTCTCCGCCGGAAGCTAAAACTATAGATTGTTGAAAATACTAGTGAAGTTTTCACGCACACACACATTCGCACACCATACATACATGTGCGCTTGAAATTAGCTGGTGCCATAAATCGATTTTGGTCTCCGTGGTCACATGCACGAAATGTCTCGTCACGAAAAGAAGTTAAGCCAAAATACTAAATAACTAAGTAACATGATCATGAGCCAATATCTCCGTCATACAGGTGAAGTGTAGTTTCAATTACAGATACAGGTATATCAGAATCTTCGGAACCGAAAACAATGATATTCTAAAAGCCCCAAGTCGAGATATCAGTTGTGTTACTACAGAACTAAGCCTTGATGGCAAATAGAAGGTTATCACTATAGAATGTTGGATAGTCTGGAGCTGCAGCAGTAAAACTGAGATTTAGACTTCAACGTTTTACAACTGTTGGGTGTTTAGATGCGTTTAGCCTCAGCAAACCAGAAACCAAGACCGAGGTTTATTGTTATCATTATAAGCAGTGAAAGAATGGCTTGACAAAAGATTACGGGAGACGGATACCTTATAAGCAGCAAGGACCGGGAAACCGGTCGTGTGCCTCGGGGAAATACATCAAATTATTCATATATTACTCAATATAAAAACAGTAAAAATTGACCTTGTTGAGGATAGGCAAATGTAGCGCACAAAAACTAACCCAAAACCAATGCAACGGTTCTAACAGGATCCAGAATAAGTATAGTGTGAAGGTAACAATAATGAAAGTCGAAAGAGGGATTTGGATATAGATGAAGAAATAAAGATGAAATTAACCAAATTTCCGATCATGTTCATGGTCGGTGGAAACGGACTATTGTCACTCAGTCTTAACTATGTTCTCATTCACATTAACTTTTAAAATAGCTTCCCTAACTTGCAATTTTTCGGAGCTGAAGGTAAGCGATAAAACAACTGTTGTACGGAGAGCATTGGACACTCGTGGTAATAGTCACCTTTTCCTTCCATCTCTCTCTTTTTCTCTCTAAAATTCCACTTATGAAGTAAAGGTCCTCAAAAAATAGGTATCTATGATAAACCGAATAAGACTTATTCTCTAACTGTACTTCCATCAGATCAGATTGATAAAAAACAGCAAAGACGTGAGACATTCCGATGGTATGGCTCTCATCTCAACTTCAGTAAACGGATTCTACCTTGTGAATCGGAACCGCCGGACGCGGTCAATACGGACGGGTCCAGTGCGACTAGACACAAAGCGGAGACGCACAGAGTGGTCCTTGCAGCCAGGTCATGGAACCCACCACCAGCCGACCCCGACACGACTCGTTCGTGTGCATCCTCGCCCTTACATGTGCCTGACCGGCAAACCAGCACGTTTGGTCCGATTTGGTTGGGAACCTGAGACAGGACTCGATGCACACCAGGTAGTGTTTCATTTCGAGCCCCGGTTGGGTGAAATTGATCTGTGACGGAATTATGTAGTTGTGGGACTCCGTGTTGTGCTTGTGCCGCGTCAGGACCGACCACAAACACTTGGTTGCCATTGTGAACAGAACTGGGAACTAATTGACGACGAATCTTGGTTGGACCGCAATCATCAACACAACCTATATGAATAAAAAGATATTGTGAATCAACAGGCTACGGGGTATTGTGAGTGTTACAACAAGCACCAGTAAACTCGTGATCTCCAGGTCCGAAAACTTCCATTACTCAAGGTTGTCTAAGAATTCCAAATGATCACACTTTCTTCACCAATATCTGTCAGCCATTGAATTCCTTAATAATCACTGACTTTCATGACGCATGTACGAAGACAGTTAAGTGTGAGCCCACAGTAAGCAAATCCTGGTGGTTGGTACAAAACGGATTATCCGTTACAAACAGAATAACTAACTGCCTGATCAGTTTGAGACAGAACACTTTATACTCTAAGATTGTCCACAAAACTATCAATTCTCAATCACAGATACAGTTTTTTTCGCATAGAATAATGGAACGCTGAGTTTATTTCCTCGTCCAATCTGTTCTAGTTCATTGCGATTTCTGCGATATCCTGTATCAGGATAAACGAAAAATTTGAGCAGAGCAGTAGATTGTCAGGAGTGTCCTGAGGTCACAAACAGGGAAGCAGCACCGGTTTATAGTGTATCTAGCATCAGCAAAAGTCAAAGTGTCACATAATTGCCGAATCAAAAGGGACTGGAAAAGGAGAGTTCTGGGGAGAGGACTCAACAAAGAAATTTATGAAAAAATATCTTTTTCTGTTTCGTTGTACCCTATTTTGGTGATTTTTGTTTATTTGGTTGTCTGTTTGTTATGAATGCATGGTTCCTATAAGATGGAAGGAACACGAATCGTTGCGGCTTAAGGCCATATCTTTTCCGCCCGATCAGGAAGTCGCGAGCGACTAGCCAGGTTGGTGGTTAACTATGGATAAGGTGAGTCAGGGATCACGAAATAAACGGTCGCAGATGGTCGGCAATGCTCGAAGACACGATGTTAACCTAGGTAGCGCTTGTGTCATTACCAGACATTGTATTAATCTGCAGATTACGATATGTGGATCGCGGCCTGACGCGGTATAATGTCGCTGCTCCTGTCGTGTCCCATCTAGCCTATATGGTATTTTGAAAGAGACGAATGAACGGCTAAACAGCCACCGACTCGTTTGGAATGGTCCTGCTACAGCGCAGACTAAATTGGTGCGGTTGTAAGGGTCAGAGGTGGAACATTGATTAAGCCCGTACTCGCTACCCCGGAATGGACAACCGAATAGTAAAACAGTTCGAATGGTGGCGGGAACACTGCCTAGTATCCTATTCCCGCGAACATTTATGGTTAGGTCCCGCAGACAGATAGTTGCGTAGGTGCACATGGTACTCGAATCTCCATTTGAAATATAGTCAGTTTTTTTACTATTAGTGTATTCGAGTTTCATCAATCGTTTTTCATTTAACGATAACAAATATCACCTCTATGCATGTGAAAGTGAGAACGGAGTGCAGGTAAACTCACCAAACCGCTTTCCCCGATTACCATTGACTTTTGCGGTTGACTCAAAAGAAGCGTTCATCACTGGAACAAATCCCGGACCAACCACAGCGTAGCCATGATCTCCTGCGTCGATCATAGAACCGGTTGAATGGATAGTTGATACATCCCTCGATACTAAAGATTGCTCATCCGAGCCGGAAGGATAAACACGATCGTATGTGTAGTCGTCCAGTAACGAGTCCAGAGGAGCACAACTGTTCACTGTGCACAACCCGGTTGAGTCCGATTTGTCCGGGCTACTCATGGTGAACGACCATGGGGTTGGGCACATTGGATCTTTTATGTCCATCTGACCTATATTCGGTGAAGCGGTACTTGGTGCGGTGGGGATTGTCCCGTTCAAATTGTACAAACTACCCGTACAACTTTCTCCAACTGAAGGCGAAGATTGATGACCGAATTCGAGACCGGTATAGTTAGATGAAACAGGTGATGGATCGAGGGAGATACCGCTCTCCGGACTGCTGTTGGCTGAGAAGGGGTGAATGCAACGTAGGGAAGACGGATGTCAGTTTGTACATCCTACAGGAGTAGGCAGGAAAACGATACGAAAAGAGATTTCTATCCAACGAAAGTTCATTCGATCCGAAAGCCAGGATAAATAAATCATTTAATTCTAGTATCACACAACGGCACTGCGATGAAGGGACCTCACTTATTACACTGATGAACGACGATGAACCGAATCAGAAAGGAAACCCATGATGAACCAAAAACAACTGAAAGGAAAGAAACTAAGTGTTATCGTACCTCGGTTGATTTTCTCTACTCTTGGCATGAAAGCATCACACGGAAATAATACTGCATGGTGACATGCCTAGATTCGGGACTATGGGAGTCGGACAACCATTGAAAAAAATGATAGAATGTGAAATATTGAATAACATTCGTTAAACGCAATCAATACTCACTTAAAAAACAACACAGAGAGACTGGAAAGTATAAAATAATACGCATATTAAACTTACAATCTGATTTGGCGACATGGACTGCATGCAATCGACGCAGCATGAGTACTTCAGCTTGAAGACGTTTGTTTTTCTCCTCCAGTTCTTTAATCCGTTCAATAGCCTGTCGCAATACAGCAGACTTATTCAACTACAACCGATCGAATGGAGCATTGGTAGAGTTTAAGGGAAAATAAAATGAAGCGAAAAGAGAAAAAGGACGGGAGAGAGGAAGATAAATGAACTAAATAGCGAGTGGAATTTCGTAAAAGATAAACCTGTTGAATAATGTAGGTAATGAGGATTCATGGATCCCCCCTGAACAGTTAACCAAGCACTTGTGATAAGCATCATCGGGATAAGATGCGTTATATTTTAGTTAGTGGTAACAACATAATTAACATCACAGCCACCCTAGTAACTGTAATTTACAAGGTCATCCCAGGAAATCGGATCCAGTGAGGTGGTAAGCGGGTGATACACAAGATAACAATAATACAGTGTAGTACCTACAAGGGATACGGATGGACTAGATCAATCTCGCGTCGCCGAGTGATAAGTAGTTGTTTAGATGGGAGAATCTCCAGTATGGTTGCGGTAATCGTAGTACGTTTCTGTTGAGTTAAATAAGTTTACACAGGCGCAATCAAAGCGTGGATTGGCGAGGAAAACAGACACTGCTTTTACATGGAATGAACATTAAAACCCCGGTTCTGGCACGAGCCAAAATATATATTTGATTAATACGATGCTGTCTTAAGCACGTGAGATTGTGGTCAACAAATCTTTCGAACAGAAGACGTCACCCGCAACTCCACCCCAAATAAACTGATCATTTCGGGGGGTCGATGGTAAACTACGAAGGAGCCGATTAAGTTACAAAGACTATAGGATCTTTGAATGGAAATTTGATGTCTGACGGTTCGGATAGTAGATAGGATGAAGTTCGGTTATTTCGAATAAAGTGATGTGCAACTTCAAGTTATGGAACAGAAAATCCAGAAGACTAGTACTGTACTTGTCAAGCGATCAGGGTCGCAGCTTAAGGTGACCGACTAGAAGGGAACATCACTTCAAGTAAAAATATTCATATTTTTATACCTAAACGTGTATTTCACAGGGGAATTCGCCGTGTATAGAGCAAATGATGCGAGAGCTGAAAAGCTAGGAAGCACTGTACAGCAATGGTGACTTCGTTAGGTTTCATCAGCAGAGCGAATCCATCGGTCCATTTAGTTGATGCAGAGAAGAATTATGATCGACGTTAGATAAAAAGTATTACTCAATCGAGAGCTGTCAAACAGTGAGTGAGGAAGTAATGCAAATGTAACAGAGGTTGAAGATAAAACAATAGATGACGGCCTATACATGCCAGAAAGCTTATGCTATGAATTTCGGACAAGATAGTGAAAGTTACTAATTGAAACCGAGAGAGGAACGTCAGAAACATGCTTAGCATGAGGTGCTTACAATACTCATCGAAAATGAGTTCTTAAAAAAATGAACCAAACCTTTGGGTGACATTCAAAATAAGTCACATTTAATGTGCGTACTCCGATGTATCTAGGCCAACAGGTGTGTTCAGCTTGTACGCTCGAGACCCTAGCCATCGATGTGTGGTGCATCGAAGAAACTCGCATTCAAAACTCCCGCTGAGTGGTGGATTAGCCGCTGAAAGCAGGCGTGCTTCGGACCCCATGGATCGAGGTTCGAGCACAGCCACCATCACCCAACTTTTGTGGTAGACAGCTTTGCTGTTGTCCGGTTCAATACCACGCCTAATGTGATTCCACGTCCCGGGGTTTAGGTTACCGGTTTCCATCAATGAACAGCAGGTCCTCATGACTTTTGGGAATTCCCGGTCTGCTGATCATTGCATTAGGGTGTGTAATAAAAAAGCTGCATTATCCGATTGAAGTCACCATCAAACCTATGTGCGAAGTTTCACTTACGCTTCTCTGGGGACCCTGAGACTGCGGTCGTGGTGGCGTTGGCGTGGTTCTCAGTGAGAAAGCTGAAGCCGCGCGCCTAGACTGGATCCCAGTCGACAGTAGGTTGTGAGCAGTGAAAATTAGAGGCTCGTAAAAAGTAAACAGTCATCGCCCCGATAGAAGAAATTTGGTTGCCGTGTCGCCATACGTTCCAACGGACTGTATTGTAGATGAATTTAACCGTTATCTACACGGCTTTCCGCGTCAAGCAAATCGGGATCTTAACATAAGACATGAATGTTAGAGTTGACCGGTTGAATTTGAGTGAGGTACATCTGGGAGGTCCTTTCGGACTAGATTCGTGTCGCTAGGAAAACGGCTGTTGCCTTTATGTTGCGACCACCGCCTATTCCTCGCCGGTACGAATTTCAGACGTTTTAACTGACGGGACGCCACTGGGCTTCCGTCCTCCTCGAGCCAGCCAAAAAAGGGCTGCATACAAGACTGCCGATCGTACTGGAATGCTCCCTCGAAACCTATTATGCATTAGTCTGTGCCAAGCAATCCATATGCTTCGGCGGGCGCTCTAAACGCACGACATAGAGACGGTTAAACTACGGTAAGTTATCTGAATCAGCGTCAGCTTCTCATACAGCTGCTTCGCTCCCCTCCCATGGTCGCGTTGAGGATGCTAATCAACTTTCTGTATTCGACTACGGACATCTCCGAAGCTCTGCTTCTGTCGATTGGGAACATCGGGTAAGCAATGATGAGGTTTGTCGTCATCTGTTGGGTGTGGATAGTCGCTCTCTAACAGAAGTAATCGCCCTACACCGCCTCCGATGGCTTGGTCACGCTTTGTGCATGCTTGTTCATCAACTACCTTTAGGTGCTCCTTTTGGACGTGGAGGGCAAGGCTGTAAGAAGCGTCGCGGCGGTCAGATAATGAGATGACGTAGATGTATGAAGAAGCTAGCTTCAACTTTGGCTTCGGTTGATGCAGCTCGTCTTTCAAGTTGCGGTCTAGTCGTTGAACCCTATCCGTACATTCAGTTTCATTCCTCATCGGTGTCAGCTGCCTGTATAAAACTCGTTGCATGCACAAATTCCCACAAACGAAATTAGTCATCAACACTGTTGTATTGTATCGACCAGACTCTGTCATTTTGTCCAGTTCTCCGGTTACTTTTTGACCAATTGACCAATTTTCGACCAATTGATTCAACTGAAACGCTGATACTTTGCCAGAAGGATAAAGGTGAAATTTTTGCTCGTATCGTTGGATGAGATCAGCACGCTCCTTACAGCTGATCTACGTTTCGCTTTCTTTTCGGTATACAACAAACACATATGAGACAGCGTTTGTAAACCGAGCCGACTAAGGAAATGAGGTAATTTGTTGAAGGTCAGATGGCAATAAGTTTCCGTTGTGAATCCAAACATTTCACTTAAACCACACTACTCCTATACGGGCATTTTAGAATGATTAAAAAAAGATTCGCTGAAGTTCAGTCTATTTGTTAAAACTCTCATAAATGCTTAGTTGAATACTCTTCAAAACAGTTTTTGATTGTTGTACTGTAGCAGCTGATGAATCAGCTTCTAAATTCATACACTTTGCAATCGAAAAAACACAGTAACCGGAAGGACGGCACTTATTCAAGTCGTGCTATAAATGAGTACACATCCCCATGGAAAAATACCATTGTTTTTAATACCCGATCAATCTTGGGTGATCCACGATGTCATTGTGTCAGGTTTCTTGGAGAAGATATTTCTAGTCCCAACGGGAACAGCTAACACACGCAACAAGCATTAGCCGAGTGTGGCAATATATCAGGTAGAATATGCAATCAATAGAACCCGGAGCTCGATAGTGGATCAAAAGCTAATTTGTAATCACTGTCATGGGTGATTAAACTGCATATTAGCAGATCCTTTTTTGTCTTCGTCATAAGCATCGATTTAATCATGAGCACAAAGAAGTGTGTATGTGCAAATCGCGTGTTACTCGTCAGCCTGGTTACTCTGAAATACCACACCCAGTGGTGAAATCGCTCCTTCATATGCATGCCGAACGAAATACTTTGTCTGCAGTAAACGCCGCTGCAAAATTCAACAATGTACCTTGTCTTAGGCTTTCGAATAATGTCACATAATGACCCATATCTTGAGCAGTTCAGTTGGAGAAATGGAACGGATGAACACTTGCCAGATTGATGGCATTTTAATGCTTACATCTGTACACCAATTGCCAAGCAAACAAAATAAACTAGTCAATGATGTAGATTTCTGATTGCTCAAGCTGAACATGTTTTTCTAACGTTGACGTTCCCGAAGAAGTTTACTAAAATCGATGCCTCCCCCCTTACATATGTGGTGAACAAAATCTAACAATAATCAGATTTGGAAATGCCTTGCTATTTGGAATGACGCAGGAGTGATTCAGTGGACCGTTAGTTTAATTAGATCGCACTGACCTGAAGTGGTGTGTTCTGTGTCGCGTGGGACACTGACACGGCTTGCATTGCGATT